TCCCCCCGGGCTGCGGCGTCGAGTTTGCGTCTGTCGGTGCGATGAAGGCGCGTCAGCACCCGGCGATGTCTTGTGGCACATGCCGCGGGTTTGGGGTTTTTGCTTTTCCCGTTTCTTTCTTCATTAAGCCTTTGGCTTTTCCGCCTCGCTGTTTTTAATTCAATCTAGAGAAGGAAAGGACTGGCAGAGGGTAAGAAGTGCCTTTCAAAAGAAATTGATGAAACCCAAGGAAGTTGCGAAACTGGACACCACAATCAATGAGGTACCACGCTTCGAGAAGCGCTTCCTCTCTCCCCACTCCCCTGGAAACCTGGCAAATAAAATGATCTGCTTTACCTGGATAGCTGTTGATTTGTTCTACAGTGGTAAAACCATACCAAGTCCGTACTTGGGAATCATTCAGGGAATAATAAGTACAAACTGCTTATGAGGGTCTGACCAAAAGTGAGACCACACAGAGACCTGTAGTTGAGATTATCTGTCTCCACAGAACAATAAGATTATTCCACAATGTTACAGGCTCCTACAAATAGAGTTTTTACTTACTTTTCTTGCATTCAGTGTTTTTTGCCTTTACCCCTTCATTCTTATGTTACTCCCGTCAGGGAACACCTCCCTGTTTAACCTCTGTGTTCCTCATGGAGTTTGAGGAGCATCTGTGATAAACAGCTTAATCCTCTTTATTGTGAAGCTCTGGTATTATCCCAGTGTCAGACTGAAGCATTTCATCCCTGTGGAGGAAGGCTCAGTTTGTCACAGTACAAACAGTAATAGCATGAGAGCCATGTAAAATCCAAACATATGTGAATGTAGTAGGAAATTGAATCTTGTTCAAAAATAAACATCAGTATCCCTCTCTTATGTGAGATTGTTATCTATTTAAAAGACAGTTGAAATGCTAAATTGCACAGGATTTTTATTAGTTCATGTAGTTTTATTCCCTATTTTCCTCTCTCTTCTCTCCACTGCTTAGGTCCTGGAGGACTTCATGCACAGAATAGATGATGTTTGTAACCACAATGGACAAATAGAAGATGTCTATTCAGAATTCAACAAATGGTCATTTGAAAGTAAGTAATTTTTTGCCTGAGAATGGTATTAATTTTGTACCTGCCATGGCACTTCAGTTAGGCTACAATCAGTGATGAATGTGTAGGCTGATTATTTCCAAACTGTCAGCTACAATGTAATGGAAAGTGGGTTGCACAACAGCCAGGGGACTGTCAGTATGCGTGCAAAATTCAGCAGCAGCTGTACAAACTCTTTTGTCTGGTTATCCATGTGGCTTGTAAAAAAAATTCAAACATTATAGTGACTTATAAATCCAAAACTTGGGGGAATCACAGTGCATTTATCTAGAGTGGGATCAGATAGCACATGACCATTTTTGTCCATCTGATATTTGTTGATTATCAGCAGCACAAGATCAATGAAATGATCCAATAACAGTGAAGAAGTATTCATTGTAGGCAAGGATCGGAAAATCCCATTTGAAGTGTTTACACTGGGATTGAGAAGCACTGGAATAAGTTACCAAGACAGGAGCCTCCATCTTTAGAAACCTTCGAGAGTACACTAAGGAACCATCTGCCAGGAATGACTTAGGGCAGAAGAAACTGCATCAGTGGCACCCAACAAGGAGGGATGGTCGGATATAACAGAACATGTTCATAACAGAACGAGGTCTGCCAGACCTGTCTGCTTTTGGCTAGCTCATCTCAGCAACCTGTGTACTGAGATCCTGAAAGTGGGGGTTTTCATCCACCGTCAGTGGTGATGGCTGCTTTTGGAAAGGGAGAAATAGGAAGTGACAGCTTTAAAAAAAAAAAAGGCGATTGGAAAGAGGTGGGAACTTGTGAAGTATGGGATGCTGCTGGTGTTTGCAAGTGGTCTCTGGCCGTAGAAGGGGCTAAGGGACGCTGAACTAAATGGCCTCTTCAGGCCCAGTTTTCCTGTGACTCAGTTCTCTACAGTAGCATTGCCTAAGTAGCTTATTTGCCAAATATGCCAGCCCTGCTTGGCAGAATGATCTGCTACTCGTGAGGAGATCAGTGGTGATTCTTATTTGTAAAGAAAGTGCTACTATATGGGCACCTTAGCTAGATATACTGCTACATGGGTCTGAGGCAAATGTGCAAAAGGTGTTTTGAAGTGCTGCTCTCACAGGTCTGTATCATAGAACATTTTTCAGAAGGATAATCCAAGCCATTCCTTGACAATAAATGGTGGACACCATGCACCCTTTTGTTTATATCATTTAATGATAATATTGCTTAACAACAGGTATCTGTCTGGTGCTGTATGGAAAGAGGTTTGGTCTGCTACAGCAGGATGTAGAGGAAGAAAGTTTGAACTTCATCAAGGCTGTAAAAACGGTATGGAGGAGTCTTTTCTGGGTCTGCAGTGATTTTCTACCCCTACTACTAACGAGATGGTACCAGTTTAAATGGGTCACCTGAAAAAAGAAAATTCAAACTTCTGTGCTACATGTGTATTGGTGGCCTTGCACATCTAAAGTGACACTTACATGTGCAAAGCTAATACTGGACATCTGACTGTCTCATTTATGAAATGCCTAAATCTGTAGGGAAACAATGCTGTATGGTCGTCAGGGTAATCCTGGAAATAGAGTTGTCAGGTTGGTTGGTTAACTTTCCTCTCCCTCTGAGACGTCTGTTGTGCAACACTGCTGGTTGTTGGGTGTGACTCTTGGAATTGTGTGGGATTATGCAAATGCACTGGATTTGGAGGTTAGTCATTCCTGCAAGCACACCTGCTGTGCATCTTGCTGCAACTTGGACTCCGGTGATATATATCTGCCTAATTTTAGCTACCTAAAAGACAGGCATCTAGCCTAGCCTAGTTTTTTAGCTCCATCCATTGTCAAGGGAGAGAGAGACACTGCCAAAGGGTGGCTTGTCCCATTCTAAAAGAGGTGCCTAAAATAGATAGGATGAATCACCCAAGAGAGAAGCCTCTATCCTCCACTGGCTGTCCCTAATTTTTAGCTGAATAGAGTCTACGTAGGCTGAGACCCATCCTTTCCATCCAGGATGGAAAATCTGCCAGAATCTTCACTTCCTGAAAATTGTCTCCTACTTCACAGTCTAATTTTGTTCATGGGTTGCAAGTAGATAGATTAAAGAAAGATTTCAAAAACTCTTCCTCCACTACAGATGATGGCTACTTTTGGAATGATGATGGTGACTCCCGTGGAACTTCACAAGGGTCTGAACACAAAAGTCTGGCAAGCTCATACTAAAGCATGGGATGATATATTCAAAACAGGTTCTTTTTTTTAAACATGATTTCTCTCCTTTCCTTTCATCTCTGTTTCACACTTGGTGGAATTAACTTTCTTCATACTTGCTACTGCCCTACACTGCTGTTGAGACACTTTTGCTGCAGCTAACCACAAACCTACTCCAAGCATGGGAGCACTCTTTTCTTCTTAACACTTAGCTCTGGTTGTGGGGCAATACCCAATCCCCAGGAAATCCCCAGAAATTTGGGAGCCAGCAATGTCATGAGTCCACTTTCATCTGCCATAAAAGACAGAAAGTGTATAATCTCTTTAAAGGCAAGGTATAAGAGTGAGAAAAGGGAACTCTCTCAGCGGGACCTCAAAGGGAGTTGTTTTCTTGAGACACAAGAATTTTACATACAGCAAAAGTCTGTTTTCTAAAAAAAAAGAAATTACAGGTTTTCTGAGCAACCTGGAATATAGTTGTAAGTTGTAAAAACAGAAGCAATTTAAATCATAAGGTACATCTTTTTGACAATGTTTTATGTCTATTTAAGATGGATTGGCCTTCAAAGTTACAAAAACTACTCCAACTCCAGATATGAAGTTAAGTTTATATTTTTCAATATTCGGTAGACATTGACAGTTATAGCTAAAGATTAAGAAAGTTTTGGCACTTGGATATTGTAATGCTGAGTGATATATTCCTCTTAGGTATTTGAGTACTTGACACTTCAGGAGTTTTGGTTATGCCAGCCACACGTGCACTATTTTATTGCTTCATAGTTTGTGAGTTTTAGGAAAGACACTTTAAACCAGTTTTCTTCAGAAAAAACAGTTTGACACCTTCACTTGTCATGAATAGCTCCTTACTAGGAACTGATCTTAACAATTGGGATATTCATGAGGAAGGGTGGGCAAAATCTCATCCTCTATATTTAAAAAAAAAAGGCATGTAGAAATTTGGCATCTATTTTTGCCTTCCCATAGTAAATCAAAGGCTTAAATTTCCCCTGGGGGAGTCTGCATGCTAAGTCTCTGTTTTTTTTAACACCTTGATCCCTTTGAAAATCCAAGCTAATAAATTTTACACACTTGTATTTCTGTTTGCTAAATATTTCACTCAACACATCACTGATTTCCTTTCCTAATTTAAGGAAGCAGAATTCCTAATGGTTTACAGGAGCACTTTCTGTTCAGAAGTGGTTTTTGTGACTGCTTTGTTTAACAAATGAAAATACCATTATTTATTCAGTATAATGCTCATCACTTGAAAAAAGAGCACAGTTTGGTACCCTCTTTCAAAATACTGCATGGAAGATGCATTTTTGGTTTTATTTTTAAAGTATTTTTAGTGATTTTCCATTAATTACCTCCTGCTTCTCCCACCTCAGCCAAGCACTCAATTGACTGTCGACTGGAAAAGCACTCTGCAAACCCTCAGGAGGATTTCCTGTGTGACATCTATTCTGGAGGACAGCTTTCCAAGAAGGAGCTGTACGCTGCCATCACAGAGCTTCAGATTGCTGGAGTTGAAACGGTAAACTTGACTTTCCAAGAGCTTGTTGAAATTAGCATCCTTCCAATTCCCTGCTTGCTTTCATAACATCTGAGAGTGAGCTAATCCTGTAGCTGCTTCGGTGGCCTAAACGCAAGTGAATTTTTACCTGAAATCACTAGAGTCTTTATTTTGTTCATTACTCCTAGAGAACAACTGCAATAGTTCATAATCCCTTAGGTTTACAAAATAGAATCATAGAATAGTTTGGGTTGGAAAGGACCTTTAAAGGCCATCTAGTCCAACCCCCCTGCAGTGAGCAGGGACACCTTCAACTAGATCAGGTTGCTCAGAGTCGCGTCCAACCTGACCTGGGATGTTACCAGGGATGGGGCATCTACCACTTCTCTGGGCAACCTGTGCCAATGTGTCACCACCCTCATTGGCAGAAATGTCTTGCTTATATCTAGTCTAAATCTGCCCTCTTTTAGTTTAAAACCATCACCCCTTGTCCTATCACAACAGGCCCTGCTAAAAAGTCTCTCCCCATCTTTCTTACAAGCCCCCTTTAAGTACTCGAAGGCTGCAGGAAGGTCTCCCCGGAGCCTTCTCTGCTCCAGGCCCCCGGCAGGCTGTTCCCGCCCTTTGAGCATTTTTGTGGCCTCCTCTGGCTCCGCTCCAGCAGGTCCGTGTCTCTCCTGTGCCGAGGACTCCAGAGCTGGACGCAGCCCTGCAGGGGGTCTCCCCAGAGCGGGGCAGAGGGGCAGAACCCCCTCCCTCGCCCTGCTGGCCACGCAGCTCTGGGTGCAGCCCAGGACACGGGTGGCCTTCTGGGCTGCAAGCGCACATTGCCGGCTCATGCCCATATATCATAAGGCAGTGACCAGCTGCAAACGTTGCTTTGAACTTTTGGTAACTTTGTGTTTCTGTCACCACAAATGGAGGTCTTACATTTCTTTTTGGTTTGTTTCAGACGGCCAATAGTTTACTGTGGGCTTTGTATAACATTTCACGCAATCCACATGTTCAGCAGAAGCTTTTCCAGGAAATACAGAGTGTTTTAGCTGCTAATGAGAGTCCAAGTGCTGAGAACTTGAAGAATATGCCTTACCTAAAAGCATGTCTGAAAGAATCCATGAGGTAAAATTCTCAAATAATTTGCAAAAAGCAAAATGATCACAAAGTTTTTTACCAGCTAGTGTGTACTAGGGAGAAAGAATTTTCTAGTATATATAATTTTGTTCACCTTGTTGTTTAGGCTAAGCTATGATAGATCCAGGAAGAAAAAATGTTGGAAATTTAACCCATTTTGTTTCTTTCACTGTAGATTAACACCATCGGTGCCATTTACCACTCGTACCATTGACACAGAAATGGTTCTGGGAGATTATGTACTGCCCAAAGGGGTAAGTCAATTAATTTAGCTCAATATTTTGTCATTGATTAACTGTCCTGTAAACCACTGAAGTTGGTCATATTGCAGTCTCAAAATGATTTTGCCAAAGGACGAGTCCCGGGATAAGGAATGAAGAATTCACACCAAGAATTCCCGTAAACTGAAAACCATACCTGCCTGCACTGCTATTGGATTTAGACAAAAATATTTTGGTGTGCTATTTCAAAAAAATGTTTCAAACTTTACAATGATGTTCTGAGGAAACTATGACCTTTCCTGGGTTTGAATTAATCTTCAGAGAATTATATGACATCTGAGGAAATTACCTCACCTTTACTGTTGCATTATTTTTTTCCGTTAACAATCTGACTCATTTGGTAGCTGTAAGCCAATTTGTACTGAGACTCTCTCTATTGCTTTGTTTATAGACTGTACTAATGATAAATAGCCATACCCTGGGTTGCAATGAAGAGTACTTTAATAGCTGGACTCAGTTTAAACCAGAGCGCTGGTTTCAGAAGAACTTAATAAATCCTTTCTCTCACGTTCCATTTGGCATTGGGAAGAGGATGTGCATCGGGCGCCGCGTAGCAGAGCTACAGCTTCACTTGGCCCTTTGCTGGGTAAATACTCTAAAATGGCATTCTGTACACAGTGTCTGGTTGTTCAACATTTAACCTCATCAGAAGATCTAGAAGCCAAAGCATGCTAACTGAGCCATTTGTGTTTCAGCTCATTCGCAAATACCAAATTATAGCAACTGACAACAAGCCAGTAGAAACACTCCATTCAGGAATACTGATTCCCAGCCGGGAGCTTCCCATTGCGTTTCACAGACGATAAGGTATGTGCATAAAGGGCCACCTGAGTACATGAGACTTTTCTTTGAACCTCATTTAGAATTTTGATAGAACTGTGAGTGTAAGAGAACAGATGTTTTTCTAAGCTTTATTTTCACAATGTGAGATTTATTAAATGCCATCACGTTTTGTTACTTTTAACAGAAAATATTCTACGTACTAAACAAGAAGACAAATTTTTTATGGGTTATGGCTCTGAAGTTAGCTGTCTAGTTTTAAACTCCAAGAGAGCATGTCTTTTGTATGTGATGCAGATCAGAAATGGGGAAATTAAAATGTGTATACTGCTGGGAAAAATAATAGCCATTATTTTGTTATAATATAAATTCTCCACTGCATTTCTAGAAGATACTTCCTGAAAAATAGCATTTGATTTTGAGCATCAATGTACAGACTAAAAAGAAAATGCCCTAGGGAAGGAACAGTACACCAGTGCACTACAGAGTTTAGATTAGAAAACTTGATTTTAGGCAGAAGGACAAAGACAAGCAAAATCTATTTGAAAATAGTCGTGCAATGTTGCAAATTATTATGCATTTTTGGTTCAAAAAAATGCATGTAAGATTTTTCTCTGCTCACAACCTTTTTGTTAGCTTATTTGTATAAAAATTTAAGTTGGAAAATTGTGTCTTCAATCTAGAATTAAGCCCTCAAATTAGAAATCAAGTGGTATTTAAATACTGTGGAAGATATTTTTTTGCTGGCCAACACCACAGGAAAAAATCACCCAGTATAATCCGAGTAAGGGTATTTACCCCATTAACTGAAGTTTGTTCAGTGCTATTTGCTTTTAAATAATCGATCACTACATGGATTCTTTTTCTTTTTAATGCGTCTTGCAGAAAACAAATTACAATCCTACTGCTGCTTTCTCTGAAAAAATATACATCAACTGGGATAGCCAAAGCCTATGGTAACCAGTGGAGAAACTGCAACACGTGTCACATGAACAACTGCTGAGCCAGAAATAGTACCAAGAAAAGCTCCCATACTGTTTTACTGGAAAAATGTGGTTAGTTTGTTCAGCTGTACTTAGCAATGTTAAAAGGAAAGAATAATACCATGTACCATGCATGTTCATATACCTATGCAAATACACTGATTTAGTGCAGCTGAGGGACTGTACACGATAGAGCTTGATAATGAACTGTGGAGTGTTATGTATAGTTCTTGTTAGTGCACAGTGAAATTATTACAGCCTCAAGCTGTTCAACAGGCTAGCTTGAAAAGAGCTGGTTTCCAGTTTGTGGGTGTTATATAGGACACCTGGGGGAACAGCAGTCGCAATTGAACTGGCCCTGTTAGCTCGGAGTTGAAGAGCTTTGAGAAGCCAGCTTAAGGGAAAAGAAGCTCACTTAGTCCTTATCAAATTACCAACGTCATGAACTAAACTGAGAAGTAAGACGGCAGTCTGTAATAAGGCTAACAACAGGGCTTAAAAATTAGGATAATTAAAGAAGTACACTTTCCCTAATGTTATTCACTTCCTTGATAAAAGGGAAATAAGGACAAAGGTATATGGCAGGATTTATTCCTCATGCCTGCACAGTACTTGGATTTGAACAGTCGCAATGCTGTGCCTGCCACATACTCTGCTCATACCTGTTGAGTTTCATGCCTCCAACTCCCACACAAGCCATTTTATCACACCTTTGTTGTAAAACCTTAGCGGTCTTTTATTGCATGAAAGGCCTTATCCATAAATAGAATCACTGGAATCCTATGGGTTCTGCCACTATTAAATGATGATATCCTAACAGGATAGTTACTTCATCAGATGAGTAATATAAAACGTATGTTTCAAAGAACCGCGGGAAATAAGGATCCTAGACATTTCAGAGAGGTCTATTTCTCGTGGACATTTCAATACCTGTACCTAAAGGTTAAAGTTGTCACTGCCCTGCATGTAATACTGTATGTTAGCTATTATGGTCACTAGTGTATTTTTCCCATGATGCAGTTTCAAGTACAGGTTTATATATATAACCATGAATGGTTATTTTTATTTTTTTATGTTCTGAAATGATACAAGTTCCTAGCATTTGCTGCTCTGTCTCCTGTGGTTTTTTTGTTTATTTTCCTCTGCTGTTATACTCAGACATGTAAATGTAGTCATATTACAACATGTAAAGCAATTTGTGCATTATCTGAATCTTTCTAGTCACTTTGGTAATAGACAATTTTGTAATAAAATAAAGATTTATTTTTTTTTCTATAAATAGTCTTCTGTAGTTTGTTATAAAGTCTTTGTAGCATTACAGAAATCTTGTCTGTTGTGGTAACTTCTTGCAAAAAAATTGCCGTTGTACTTTTATCCCTCTGCTTAATATCCTAAATGGGATTGAGCTTGAAGTTCTACAAGATCAAGTTACTTTAATTCAGCACTGATGATACTCCCAAGTTGCTATAACCATGCTCTAGCTGGGAAACTGTTTGCAAAGCCCAGCTCCTGCCTGCCACCCGGCCACCGCCGCGGCAAGCTGGATGCCGCGTTAGCAAGTACAGGGGATTTAAGCCCTGCAGCATGGAGCTTCGATGCCAAACTCCTTTTGGGCCATTAATCTTGCTATTCCTTCAATCCAGGCTGTTCCTAGTATTTAAGAATGTGCTAAATCCATGCCTACAGCTTCTTTCCTTCTGTATAATCCTATCAAACCTCAGTGAATGCTAATGTTAGGAGTCTTTCTACATCCATACTCACAGTCTGAACACGTTTCTCCCCAGCATGCACAGTACTGAGGTCTCCAGGGATGGGACTGTTATATTTCTCTGCCGTTATGACAAGATAAAATCAATATAAAGTTTTAAGGAAGGATGAAAATAGTTTGAACCTTTGCAAGATCAAAAGAAATGTTGTATACCAAAAAAAAGCCATCCACCCAGCACTGTGACTGGCAGCCTGGTGGTTACGCAAAGAGCAAATTTGACAGTTATCAAAACCATGCTGTCTTTGCCAAGTGAAGGCTGCCGCCGGCTGAGTGAATGATGGTGTAAGAAAAATCATACAGCACTGTGAGAGTGTCGCTTTTCAGAAAATCATATTGTAATGTGTACTTTAGAGTGACTGTAGTTTGTGAACTACTAGCTGAAACTAATGTGACAGCTGGGAGCACTGGGTCCCAGAGCTTGGGGAAGGTGGGCTGGGAGACCAGAGGTGCTCACCCGACCCCGGGGGAGCTGTGGCAACTCATGCTAAGGTGCAAGACTGTGTGGGAAGATCTACCCAAGCTGCTACAATAATAATATACACTAAGTCTCTTCTTACAGTATTATAAACTAATATTACTCCATTAGAGCCAATGGAGTTGTGCCAACATGAAACAAGCGTTAACAGAAAGTCAGGGCTATTGTTCAATTCCGGGCATATCACATTGCTCACAAACGTTCTGACAATTTAACTTTTAAAGACAACCAAAGAGAAGAGGTGTTACCTAGATGAACTGACCTTGACAGCCTAGTTATCAGCTATTTCGAAATCCTTTATTGCTTCTGTATAGTAAATCACAGGTTCATGCTTACTGGACTGCTTATTATTTTGACTATTTAAATTTAGTGGGCCCAAAGATCTATATAGTGTTACTCTGAGTAAGGTTTTGACCAACTCTATACAAGCTGAGGTACAAGTGTGCTGTCTTCTGGATTTCTGAAAGTACAATAACCACTGACCTGGAAAATTTTGTTCCGGAAGCTTTGTAGATTTTCAAGCTCCTTTTCAAAGAACTTCATTAATCTGCTACCTCAAAGTAAATGTCCAAATCAATTTACCTAGGTAATAGGTAATTATCAAACTACACAGATAATGAATGACCAAGGCAGACTTGCACATTGAGAAACTCACGGCTTGCTTTTGCTTGTATTTCAGAAGTATGAAAGACAGCACGATGCCTCCGAGATTAATAAATGCCTATGAAACCTTTTGCCTCTGGTCAGATGGATAAATTCAGTTCAGTTCTTTGCCTCTTTGAAATGATTTGTTCATTCAGAATTACTCATTAAAAAGACAATGACAGCACTACTTCCCTCTTACCATTTCCTACAGTTACTCCTCAGAGGAAGATAGTTGGATCATAAAATGAATGGAATTAATTGGCCTCCACGTTAACTTTCCCAACAAGGAAGTGAACAAGGTTTACGTATCCAAAAGGAAGCTAATTCTGTTCAGGCTTTAGGCGTGTAGGAGTATCATGTAGTGGTAATGATACAGACAAAATTGAAGCCTTCAAAGTTGAAGCCAACTAACCTGCACCTTTTTTATGAATAAAGAATGCCGGTTTTCAGGACTGACAATCTGGCATTTTTCATGTATGTTCTGTTCATTATAAACTGGCTATTATATAGTACACTCTGAGTCAGTCTCTGCTTACACCTTTCAGTGCTGTGATTAGGTGACAGATAACATGTTCTAGTTTGTCTTCTTCCACAGTGAGAAGGTTCTTTGTTCTCAACAACTAGAGGTAGAATTCATGTTGATGGCAGTGCTGACTTTAACTGATGGGATAAAATAATGCAAGCTCTGAAAAAATAATTCTGAAAAATGTTAATAGCTAAAGTTGATTGCAGAACAAATTTTAAGAGAACAACTCAGGATGTGCTTAATTTTAAATACGTGAAAAATCATCTTGACCTCAGTGGGACTGCATGTGTACGTGTGGGTTTTGTAATGCACTGTCACTTTTTATAGAAGGATAAACAATTTCCAGCATGTCATTTGTGGCACATATATCTAAAATTCATGTAAGGGTTATAGCTTTAGAAGAAAAAGCTGCATTTTTACTTCAGATAATTGAAACAAAGGGCTTATTGAGGTTGAAACTGCAAGCAGTCTCATTAATCTCTTACTCTGGATGTGTGTGTTGTTCTGATAACTTGTGGATTGATATACTATAGTGTGGGTGGCTGCATTCAGGGTTTTTTTTATGTGAACTTCCAGGCACGTCTTCAGAAAATGTATGAATATTACATCACAAAACTGAGCATTATGCT